TATGCCACGTTCATACTCCTTTGACTCTTTCTTGAGACATCTAATCTTGCAATTTAAGGGAAATGAATTTCAGCCCATGGCTTTTGCATGCTTTCTAATAACAGTAAAATTGCCCAGGTTCTTTGGAAATTGACCAAGAAACAGGAGCTACAACAAACCTTTGGAAAATATTGTTATAAATTCCAGATGCTCTTAGGAGTGTTTCCAACAGCCTTCAGTGATAAAGCCTGGAAGCTTTCCAAAGCTGGTAAATGCATCTAATTCCCTCCAGGTCCAATAGCTAGTACAACATCCCTTGGAGCCTTGAACCGTAAGCACATTGTACTGTTGATGGTAACTCAGACTTTCCTTTAGCAGATGATCAGAATGTAATCATGTTAGCAGTGAATTTTTACATTAAAGCAATCCCAAAAATACTACCAATCACTTTAGGTTTATGAACCGCATCTCTCAGAAATGAACCTGAGTAACAGGAATTGTGTAAGAGTCAGATAATCCTTCCAGCTGCAGGGAACTCTGCTGGCAGTTCTTAAAAGCTGTTACTAGGGGGATGAAAGCAATGCTTTAGCTGTCAAACAGTAATAAATGAGGCTTTTTCTTACACAGCACTTTTTTTTCCTTTTCTTTTTTTTCTGGCCATCACCTGATCAACTGGTATCTTAATCCCATGTGATAATGGTTTACCTCAGTTCTTGTCTTACTGCTTTTCAGCCCTGAGGTGTTTTATTTCATTTACTTACATTCCCTAATACTTCCTTATTATGTATTTCCCATTACTTTGCTCACTATTCTTTTCAATTATTCTTGATCTGAAAGATACAAAGATACTGCAGTTATTTTATCTACAAGTTTCAGCTTTGATGGGATACAGAGCAGTATTGCTATTTTGTATAATAGAAGTCTTTCTATATTAAATTCTTTCCTTTGGCCTGTACCATACAGCATTCTAAATGAATAGCTGTAAAAATATTTAGCTGTGGGCCCATGACTGATAGTGTTCTACTTGTAACAACTAATGAAGTCTGATGGTTCCTCACCAGCCATCCAGTTATCCCCACAATGGTGACATTTATGATCCAACAGTGACCTCTTGGTCAGGCAGAACACAACCCATTCTGTCATGTGGGGCACAGTCCCATGGTTTGCATTGACGGTTCAGGGGCTTAAGCATCTGTGTAGACAAACTTCCAAATTTATAATCTGCACAGGATCCTTTTCAGATCATGGGTTGTGATCAGTTTCCTCCTTAAGGATTTTATCCGTGTGGATCTACATGAGATTGTGGAGAGCTTTTCTTGCTCCAGTGCCTTTTCTGGCAGAAACTCCAGGACAATAAGGTGATCTGGCTGTAGTCTCATCCAGATGTTATTTTAATCTCTCCTTATAGGAGGACTCTAAAAATCACTAAACGTTAGGAGAACAAATTATTACAATGTGGCATAACTTTTTAGGGACTTCTGCCTTCACCTACTTCCAATAATTTGTAGGTATTGGATGGTTAGGCTTTGAAGCTGTGTACTGAGATGTAGGTTTTAAATACGGACAGGCTTCATAGAGTGTTAGACTCCACCAACAATGTTTTCTATCAGACAAACTCTGAATCTTGTGTGTAAAAGTATTTATTTTTTTCTTGCAATTTTTCTTCAGTGTTTGTGGTGACTGTAATGTCACCATCTGTTCAGGAAGAAACAGAATAAGGTGCCAGCTCAGATGTGTCAGATAGATAGATTAAAGCCCTGTAATATTCCAAGATTTCATATTATGTTAAATCTATTTGGTTTCATTTCATATATGTCCATACTGGTTATTGTTTGTAGTCAGAATGCCCACCTGGAAGGGTCATTTGTGAGAAGCTCAAGACTGGATGCTTGGGATGAAATTAGAGTGGGTGAAAACAGGTTTTTTTCTGACTTCAATTTGTAAGTTTCTGAAGTTAGCTCTAAAAATTACCTGCTTGTTTTGAGCCTGCTTAACAAAACAGTTCAGAAGAGACATTGCCTTAGTAGATCAATTTGTGTTTGGCCTAGTCCTCCTGTGTTTCAGCTGTAGTAATCATCAACCTTTGATGCTTCAGTAAGAGCAATGCTTCTATTTTATGCTTGTCTGAGACAGTCTGCCAGAGATGGGTTTATACGAGGTGTAAGGTCTTACACAGTTTTCAAGTCCTTTGTGACTTAATTAAATGTGCATACTTATTTTATCAAGTGACTTTTGGGTGGGTGCTGGCCCTTTTGAATAATTCATCATAGACATTTTTTTTGTGCAATAACTGTTTCTATTATTAAAATATTTAGAATAGGAACTATTTAAAGAGTCTTTATGTAAAGGGATATTTGCCAAACAGATTGCACAAGAAGCAATGATTACAAGATCTATATTCAAGCTGCTTGTTTCTGTAAAAAATATCCAACAGGACTGGATGTCCCCTTTGGAAAAAATCAAAACAATCTGGAGCCTACAGAGGGAACCAAACCCAACTGCATTTTGACACAATCCTCTTCTGGCATTCAGATCCATTAATCTACATAATCTGCTAGTTTCTAAACTCTTCAGTGTCCCCATATGAGATTTCTTCTGCCATGAAGAGTCCTTTCCTCTCATAGTGAGGATTAGAATTATCGAATCTTAGAATCACAGAATGGTTTGGGGTGGAAGGGACCTTAAAGCTCAACCAGTTCCAACCCCCTGCCGTGGGCAAGGACACCTTCCACTAGAGCAGGCTGCTTCAAGCTCTGTCCAACCTGGCTTTGAACACTGCCAGGGATGGGGCAGCCACAGCTTCTCTGGGCAATCTGTTCCAGGTTGGAAATATCTTCCTAATATCTCATCTAAATCTCTCCTTTTGAGTTTAAAGCCATTCCCCCTTGTCCTGTCTCTACAAGCCCTTGTCAGAAGCCTGTCTCCAGGTTTCTTGTCAGCCCCTTTATGCTCTGGAAGCTGCTCCAAGGTCTCCCCAGAGCCTTCTGTTCTCCAGGCTGAACAAGCCGAGCTCTGTCGCCTGAATATGTTCCCTTGCCAGGGCTCCAGAGTTTGTCACAATATTAAATTTCAAATGGCAGAAAAGAATGGAACTGTGGTAATGGTGATACTTCCTATCCTGCTCCAAAGAGAGTTTCAGCCTGCACACTGTGATATTAAGTACATTCTCCTGCCAGCATGGAGCTAGTGCAGCTACTGCAAGTTTAGAAGTAATTGTAGACATCAGAGCAGGGCGTGAAGGTCTCACTGAGGAACTGTTCAGCCTTGTGCATATTTTTAGATGGCTGAACATCTCACTTAGTGTAACTTTTAGAAATACTTTTAGGGAGATTTACATAATAGTTCACTTCTGTGTGCAGAAGGGGTATTTCTCAAGATTAATGTTGCAGAAGTTATAAATGATGCTTGTACTGAGTAGCTAATGATGACAGCTAGTGAAAAGGTTAGCGTTCAGATTATTTCAAGACTCTTCCCCAGCATGTTTTCTTACCTTTTCTTCTGAATCTGGCCATTGTTGTGCAGAACAGTCAGACCTACTATAGGAAATGCTATTCTCCTAAATGCTGACATACCCAAATAGAAATTGAAAAGACACAAAAAAAAGAAATAGGCTCCCACATCTAATGAAGAGAAGCAAAACATTTGTCAATAAGCATCTCACTAGAAGTTATCATATGTTCTCATTCTCCTTCAATAAACAGTTTGAATTTAAGGTTTAAATTCAAGAAAGGTTTAACAAAATGGCTAAGCACTGAAGAGCCTGAAGATTTGACTAAAATAGCTAGGTAATAAATCTGCTTAATTTCACTCTAACATAAACCAGCCATCAAATTCATAAATGCAAATAAATGCAGTAATTTTCCTTCTGGCAACTAGGCCAATTTGTGAGAGTGCTCTCTGGGTAAGAAATGGACATATCTTCATAGCAAGTGCATGGTATTGAAATTGTTTCTCCTTTTTTTTTTTGCATGTAGCAGATTCAGCTCTGTAAGAAACCTGACACATACTCTAGGTTCAGGCATTATTTGAAGACATAGTTGTGTTTTAGAACAATCTGTCTCCCTCTTAAGAATCAGTGCAACTGAAATGGTCATTCTTTCTAGCTGGATGATAGGGTGAGCCCATTCCTTGTGAGAGTGCGTCATGAAAGGTTTTGTTAGTTCAGCAACACCTCTATTAAAACAAACAAACAAGGAGAAAAAACACAGTAGCAGTGCTAACGAAGTGCAAATCTGTATGAGATATGGTATTTAAACTTCAATCTGAAATATAAAGCGTGCTTCAATAGTTTACATTAAATGTAATACTTCAAATCCAGATCCTTTAGTATCTCTACAAAATGGAAGAAGGAGATGATAATCTTCAAAATCCCTAAGGCTACTTTTCTTGAGTAATTTTAACTAAGAGCTTAATCAGTACAAGGAAATAGGTGAAAAAGGCTTTAGGCATGTATAAGACAATCCAAAACTCATAGTGACAAATCTCATGCAATGGACAGGATGATATGGGATACATACATGATACGTACAACCCTGTCAAAATCCTTTTTTACACTGAATGAAACAGAAGCCTCTGGGCATGTGAACTGAAAGCATGTAAAGAAGCAAGCAAATGCTCCTAGGGAAGTTTAGTTTTGTCATAACCTGTTGAGTTTGTTCTTATAGTTCACTTTAGAGAAGGATATCAACAGTTGTCTCAGGTACAAAGTAATGGGTGCTTGAAAACTATAAAGTAATTACAGAGAAGACAAGATCTGAGGTCAGAGCTCTACATTTTCAAATAGTTTTGTCTCCTGCCGTGCTCTCAGTCATGGCTCTATTAGTGGTTGGTACCTAAAGCCAGAAGGACCGGATAAAAGTATAACGGTGTAAGCCAATTGTTCCCTGGTGTGAAAAGGGGGGAATTAATGTCTGACCCCTGTGAGCTGCCTGGTGTATGTCTGTAAGCATGAGATTTAGTTAAACAGATGGTAGCATACATTACTGCTTTAGAAATGTGATTAATCATTATGAATGTTCTAGGTCCTTTAAAAGAATGACTAGAGCATCTGGCTATCCACACTGAAGCAGTGTACACCCACCTGACAAGAATCTGTCTCCATAACATAGATGATACTTGTGTTTACTTCAAGTACTTTGCATCTTTATGCTTCTGTTGAATGGACAAGTGCTGGCACGTTCTTTTAAATATGGCAGATTCATTGTGAAGGTCGACTGCATTTATATTCTACCTCCTCTTGAATTTTAGCATCAACAAAAAGCATGAAACAAAAAAATCCAACCTAATCCACCAGTTTTTGTGAAGCTTGGAGATGAAATCTGATGTAGACTTTTAGATTGGAAAAAGACAAAGTGTCTTTGCCTGTCATGGGGGTACTTCACTGAATCATCAGATCAGTTAGGAACTGCACCACTCTAAATCCTGGGCAAGTGCACTAACTTTAATTCTAACGTGTTCTAGCTGACATGCTCACCAACTCATTACAAAATAGCTCTCATGTTGCACATACATGTGATCCAAGTTTGTCAGCACTCAATGAACAGAAGAGCTGCCTGTCTGAAGTTCTCTGTTATCCTAACCCTCATAACCACAGACCAGGTATCTTAGGAGCATTCCTTCTGCAGATGCTTGGCAAGTGCCTAACAACTTGCCTTGCTTCTGAAGGGAACACAGCATAAACTCAGGAGGAGCTTGCTAATGCTGGTCAACCCCTTCTAGTGGCTACCTTTCCTTGGATGGCTATAAGCACAGTGATTTATTTGCTTCAAATAGATATTATATTCTTTAGTCCTCTATATTTATCCACATTCTGTCATTTAGTTCCATCTGCTGTTACACGGGAGTCTTTATTTTAGAATCTCATTCTGCAAGCTGCTGTCAGCTTGAGGCTGTCAGAGATTCACAGTGCTTAAAGCTGGATGGGACCCTTGGTTTTAGTCTGTCCTCTAAAGTGCATGCCTCTTAACTTAATTAATTTGTGTTCTCCAGTTGCACATTGCTGGATGATTTCAAAGTACATAGCAATCATACAAGAGATGTTTGGTGCCTTACAGGATGAGGAGAACCCTGTGCAGCTCTCTGAGGTTCCTCTTCTTGGGAGCATTTCAATCATGCTCAAAGAAATAAGAGATGAGAATAGCTTGAGTAGCCAGTGTTGCAAAACAAGTAAGACTGAACTAATAACCTAACTCTATAGGTTTCTATAAGCATTTTAATTTGCTGAAAGTCACATTAAGACTCAAAAATACTTGGACAAGCCAGATTGCTGTTTCTCTTGTTCAGCAGATCAATGGATTAATACTCTCTATCATTTTAATAGGACTCTGAAGGCTTACAGAAATAAACTTACTTTAGAGGATTACCTTCTTGTTTCTGTGCATTTATAAATGCCATCTGTTCATATCTGAGAGCTGGGTGTTATGGTAACCTAAGTCTTTTAAACTTGAGCTAATTGCAGAATGCCCATACTCATGGAGTACATATGCATGTGGGTGCAGAATGCAGGCATGAGAATGGTGACAGGGAAAATCCAGAATATGGGAAGCCTTTGAATGGATCTTGCTGTCCCCAGTGGTCTCTTTAGAAGTGAGGAGTACCTCTCCTCCACAGGAGAAAGCAAGGAGGGTTACCTGTAGTAGTACAGCAAGCCCAGGTAACAAGGGCTCTGCTTTTTTTGCCAGTATAAATCAAACTTGGGGAAAAAAATTGAGGGCAGGGTGGAAGCCTCTGTGCTGAAATTCTTTTTCATATAACCTTTGAGATATCTTACGTGTGATTCAGTGTGAAAGTGTCGCCTGTTTAGTTCGTTCCATCTGCACAAGGAAAAGCTCTTGATTACTGTGGCCATGGAGTGAATTTGGATCATCATGCACACAACTCCCTGTACATTTACTGAACTTCTTAGGTTATTCTTCATAGAAAGTAATTTGGCATGTATACACAACATTTTCTCAAATGGGTTTTGCTCTTGAAAGTATCTTTCAGCATGTGGCTGTATAGATGCAATAAAAGGTCCACAAAGTTAGACAAGTACACAGCCTCATGCTCCATAGTTGACTGTTGTATTAGCTACTGTTTTCCTGCTCTGTGCATCCATTAATTATGGATCAATTATTCAATTCTTTAGGGACTCAGGTGATGCCTGGGCTACTGAGTTGTGAAATTAAAGCAATGCCACAGTGAACAGGAAAGAACATGCATTTACTTTAGAGCTATCTTCCTATGATATTGATACTCCTAGGACAAAAGTGTTTTTCATCAATCAATAATTAAGGCAATTCATGAGTGTCCTTTTCCCCACACTGCTTCTAACTCATCTAGGATAAATTTTATCAAGACTTTCTTTCTGGGTAACAATCTTTCCACAGTTTTTAATGGCACAATCAGAATCTGAAAGCTAAATGCCTATTATCACCATAGGCATAATTCACTGCGCTCAGTATCATTTCCTAAATGAAGCACAGCACAATTACCAGAAGAACATTGCTTTACAAAGTGAATCTTGTAGTTCAGTAAAATTTAGCCACTGAGGGTCAGATCAGCAAATAAAGCATTAATTTGCTGTTTGCCATGCTGGAAAAAGTGTCAAACCTAAATGAGAGCAGTGGTTTCTCGGCTGCTGGGACCAGGAGGAGTAGCACTCTCCAACACATTTTGCAGTAAGTCTCTTGCTTATGATTTCACCTAGATTCCTGTAGTATTTAGCTGGTTAAGTTAGCTCCTCTTTTACCTTCAGAGAGTGAAATTTCTGATGACAAGTCTTTTGTTAGTAAAAATTGTCTGCTTTAGAAAAATGTTCTCTGACTAAAATCAAAACTTGAGTATTTACACAAAATAAAAATATGCTAACAAATAAAGATAATGGCCTGTTTTTCATCTCCTTACCTCTTGTTCAGTCACTCACATCAATCAAATTAAGCAGTTAAGCAAATGACAAGAAAAAATCTAACATTTTACAGCTTTTTTGCATGGGGCAGAAAGGGAAATTAAACCGATACTGTTTTCAGGTACCTGTCATTTTGCTGAAGTGCTGAGTCTTTAAGAAGTACTGCATTCAATGCTCAGCCTCCCTGATATCAACTGCAGTGTGTAAGTTATCTTTAAGAATGCAATGTGAGGTCACATTTGTATATATAGGTAGGAAGGGTCTGCACATACATCTCCATCAGGACTGAAACTGGTAGTTATCTCACCAATTTGTTGCCTTTACCCTGAGCCTGTGATGTATGAGAGACCACACAAATCGCCACTGGGGTGAGCACAGCTGAAACTGTGGCTCCTAGAAGCACAGAACTACCTTGCAGGTACACCTTGTGTCATTAACCCTGGGAAGCGTGGCAGTGATGTCGGTGCTTCTCAGCACCAACCTGCTTGTGTCCAAATTCTGAAATACCCTCAGACAAGGGGTGCAAACCAGTTTGTGCTGAGATTCTCTTCAGTGCCATTACAAAAAGCTGCTTCTGTGCAACAAAGGGTTGTTCACATCACACCCCCGAGGCTGCCCTATGCATCTCAGCAAAACGCAACCCAAGCCAAGCTTCCTTTACAGTTAGTTAAATAAAGTTAAGGGCTTCTAGTTCATTCATGACACTGAATTTAGATACCTGACACAGTGTAGGTTAAAAACCTCTGAACTCTAAATCTTCCAAATGCACGTTTCATGTTCGGCTCTTGCCAAATCTTTCAGCCTTCAATAATGTCTTTAGAGCTCAATCTCTGAAGTATAGTTTAAACTGATGACCCAGAAGACCAGGCTTAAAAAATATGTTGACTTCTGTGTTTTTCCTGCGAGGTTACCTGGAATTCCATCTTGAGTAAAGCAAAGCTGTGGCGGGAAATGTGTTTGTGATTCAAGCTTATTCAAAAATAAAAAAGATTTTTGGACCTTCTTTATTGGTTTGGTTTGTTTTTTTTTCCAGGAAGGAGATCATGACCTTCTGGGAAGGAAAACATCTTCTCTCATGTGGTCTCTCAACGTGTGTCAAGGTGTATATAAATGAAAGCTCAAAGTGTTTCTTATTTTCTTTTTAGTTTTTTCCCTTTTTTATGTTTTAGCATCTTAAATGGCAAGAAAGCTTACTTCAGAGTAGTCACACAGCAATGATTTTTGGATCATGTAAGAGACTACAATATAGTGCTGTTTTGGCTGGGCTTGTACATATCTTGGGTGACATGGTCTAGTGTGAGGTGTCCCTGCCCATGGCAGGGGGGTTGGAACTAGATGATCTTAAGGTCCTTTCCAACCCACACCATTCTATGATTCTATGATTCTATATGCTTTCAGAAGTTCTTGGTGAGCAAGAAGCAACAATGTGTACTAGGAATTCAGAGCAACTTTTTGACGTACATGATTTAACATAGAATTACAACGTAGACAAATTTTAAATGGTAAATCTTTAACCTTTGAAAAAGCTGTGTTGGAACATTAGTTTGTTAATTTAGAAAGGAAGAGGTAAAGCTGCTTCCCTTAGTTTATTTTGAAAGTTTCAACCTATATATATTTGCCAGTTGCTTCCCCAAAAATACTTCTCAGGTGTAATAGCTGCCGAAGGATGGCGAGATGGTGCACTGCTCTGGTGGTTATTCATTCATTGACACACTGCCTGCTTTTGCCACTAGATTTATATGGCCATTTAAAGAGGGAAAATTCAGACTTGTAGACTAGACAAGAGCATTATAACATGCTATTTCTCCATCCAATAAAAATGTCGTCTTCCTTTATCACTCTTCCTTCTGCCCAAGAAATTCTGCCCTTTGAAGGGCATGTGTGTTTTATATAGGAAAAAATCTAATGAAAAGGGCTCTTTCTGTCCTCTTAATGGAATATCTTTTGAAGGCCTCATATTATCTGTCTACACTAGGTTCAACGCAACTCTCAAGACCAGACTTTTCCATCATTATTAATGGCCCCACTGTGTCCAGGTGTGGAGCTCTCAAGAGAGCAACAGAGCTGGGGGGGAACGGGATCTGAACATTTGTTCATTCCCGTGGTCTGGCTGGAAGGAGCACTAATGAATTCAAGTCCAGTTCTCTTCAGGTTTCAAATCCATATCTTCCTAAGGTGATTACAGACATCTTCAACTTACCTGTGCAAGAAGGCATAAAGATCCCATGGATGAGCTTGCCCAAACCCATTCACAAACACAGCCACCTGAAGCTGGTTCAGGAACCAGTGACTGCAGTCTTAGAATGG